TCATTATAATTGTATAGGACGAATGTATTCCGTTAGTCCAACACAAATAGAATTATTTCATTTACGATTATTGTTACTCACAGTAAAAGGGGCCACAAGTTTTAACGATTTAAGAACTGTAAATGGAGAATTTTGTCAATCATTTTCAGTCGCATGTTTAGCTTTAGGTTTGATCGAAGATGATGATGAATGGAAAAAAGCTATGAATGAAGCTGTTGGATGGATGATGCCACGACAACTTCGTAGACTATTTGTACGTATATTATTACATTGTCAACCATTACATCCTGAAGAATTGTGGGAAAACTTTAAAGTAGTAATGTCTGAGGATTATATTCAACATTTTGGTATATTACAAGGACAAAATAAAGCATATGTACAAATTAATATAGTATGCTTCGTGCTGAAGGTAAAAGTTTTGTAGATTTTCCACAAATGAAACAATTAACAGAAATGATGAAGAAGAGAATTGCATGATATTTGAAGAAGCTATGGAAATAGGCACCAAACAATATAAGCAATTAAATGATAAGCAGAAAGAGATCGTCGATCTTATATTAAATGAATTAAATAATAATATTACTTCAAATAATTGTTTTTATATTGATGGTCCAGGTGGATCAGGTAAAACATATATATACACAACTATCTATTATTTAGCTAGAATTAGAAATAAACGTGTATGTACAATGGCATTTACGGGTATTGCAGCTACATTATTACCTTTTGGAAAAACAGTTCATAAGATATTTGGATTACCAGTTCCATTATTTGCTGATTCATCATCAAGTATTAAAATTCAATCAAAAGAAGCTCAATATTTAAAAGAAATTGATATTTTCATTTGGGATGAAGCACCAATGGCACCACGATATGCTTTAGAAATAATGGATCGAACATTGCGTGATATTATGAATAATGATATTCCTTTCGGTGGAAAAATTGTTTTATTAGGTGGTGATTTTAGACAACTTTTGCCTATTAAAGTACATGCTACTCGAAGTGAAATTGTAAATCTTTCTATTAAGTGTAGTTCTCTTTGGAAGTATTTCGTAAAATTCTCTTTAATACAAAATATGCGAGTTCTTCCAGAAGAAATTGAATTTGTAAAGTTTTTATTGAATGTTGGAGATGGTATATTAAATGATCTTAATGATAATATACAAATTCCTGAATGTTATATAGCGTCTATTAATGCTGATATTGTGGAAGATATATATGGTGATTTAATAAGAAAAAAAGAGTTTGTTAAAATGTCTAAATGTGCCATACTTTCTGGAAGAAATGTTGATGTAGATGAAATTAATAAGAAAGTTGTGGAATTATTAGATATAAATGATGAACGAATTTATACAAGTGTAGACACTGCTGTAAATAATGACAATGGTGACATGAGTGAAACATTGTTACCAGAATATTTAAATAGTTTATCTCCATCATCTCTTCCTTCTCATGAATTACGTTTAAGACCAAATAGTATTATTATGTTAATTAGAAATTTAAGTATCAATGAAGATCTGTGTAATGGCACTAGATTAATGATTATAGAGCTTACAGATCATTTATTAAAATGTAAGATTTTAACAGGTGACAAAACAGGAGACATTGTTTTTTTGAATCGTATAACGTTATATTGCGAAAATGTATTTCCTTTTACTTTTTCTAGAAGACAATTTCCAATAAAATTAGCTTTTGCCATGACGATTAATAAATCACAAGGACAGACGTTTGATAGAATTGGATTAGATCTTCGCAAAGATGTTTTTAATCATGGACAACTTTATGTTGCTTTTTCGCGAGTTCGTTCTTGGCAAGCGTTAAAAGTTTATCTTGGTAATCAACGAAATAACAAATTTGTTAAAAATTATGTATATAAAGAAATTTATATTTAATTTTTTGTTTTTTAAATGTGAAAAAAACAATTTTGTTAAAATAACAATAATAATAATAATAATTTATTCAGCGAATATATAAAAATTTTTTACAAATATAAATTTTAATAATAGAAAATTTTACATTTTATATAAAAGTTTATTTTAATATTGGAAAATTTTATATTTTATATAAATTTGCTTATAAGAAATAAATATAATACACATATAAATAAATATAATACATAATCAACATTTGCTTAGTCAATTTTTTTATATGTAATAATTTGTATAAAATTATAATATAAGATGTATAAAACAAAATATGATATATTAGAAACTTATAATAATAAGAACTTATTATATAATATATCAAAGGATAATTGAAATTGTGTAGTCGACCAAACTAGCCAGAAATATAGTTTATTAATATGAAATATAATTTGACCATATGATTGTGGTCCTTATATAATATATAATACTTATTATAATATATAAAAGAAAGTTATTTAATAATATATTTATATAATATATACGAAAAAGTTATATAAAACAAGTTAAAATAACAATAATTATGAGTTGGACGTGGAAGTTGAATTTCTCTTATTCTGATCCTGTGAAAAAAATATATAAATTAATTATACATATATATATATATATATATATATATATATATACACAGAGTGTCCCAAAACTCATAATCAATCTTTCAAAGACAGATTCCTGAGATTTGGAGACGATTTTTCCTCAATGAAAATGTCGATATGAAGGCCATTATTTTTTGCATGTTTCCACTTTTTGTCATCATATATCTTTACAATTAAGTTTTAAATTAAAACTCAATTGAAGTAAACTCTATTTAAAATTAATCGAAGAATGTGGTTTAATTAATATTTTATTTCTACAAAGCTTAGTTTACGAAAAAACCCTTATTTCCAATCACTTATAATTCGAAAATTATTAGTGCTTCGACATTTTCGTTGAGGACAAATCGTCTCCAAATGATCCCAGGAATCTGTCTTTGAAAGATTGATTATGAGTTTTGGGACACCCTGTATATGTATGTGTGTGTATGTGTACTATATAATAATAATTATATGATTATATAATAATTATATATAAGTATCAAAATGATGAATATTATTAATTGTAAAAGTAAAAAATTAGAGTGAAACTTTAAGAGTTTTACTAATCTCTTCAACAAGTTTTATTAAAAACTAATAGTTTTAATATTAATTATAATAATTATACCTGATTAGTATTAATTATACCTGAAAGTACATCATCTATTTTTCTTTTCAAATTTTTAGTTCCATTTATTAAAGTTAAGAGTGGCATGTGCCCTGCGATTTTTTTTATATTTTCTGTATTGTTGACAACTAAATATGATGGAATAACTAAAAATTATAAAAATATTAATAAATAAATATAAACAATATAAATAAATATATAAATATAAATATATACATAAATATAAATATATATATATATATATAATATATATGAAAATATTTTTAATAAATTATTTAAATGAAAATATTTTTAATAAGTAATTACAATTTTGTAATATTATATATATATATTGTATATATATATATATATATATATATATATATATATATGGGGCATTCCACGCCAAATCGGACGGTTTAAAAAATTTTTGTTTTTGATTTTCTTAATTTTTAGGTATTTTTTAGTACCCCTCAAAAGAGGCTTCCTGGTAACTTAGAGATTTTTTTGATTTTTTTTCGATTTTTAAAAATTAAAAATTTTGAATAGTTAATTACGTATTATATTTATTTTTTATAAGTGAAAATTTATAACTTTTATAAGTAAAAATTTTATATTTTAAAGGTTTGAAAATTAAAAATTTCATTTTTTTAAATTAAAGATCTTAAAATGGCTTTTATTCTTTATATAAATTAATTTTAATAGTATTTAAACAATTATAAGAATAAAATAAGTAAAAATTAAATAGTTTAGTTTATTACCTGTAGTTTGCATGATACCAATAATTTCTACATGATCACCTTTTCTAATATCAAGTAAAGTATAATCATCGTTACTAAAATTTATTACATGAATTTCCAGTTTGAATGTGCCATCAGTTATTGCACCACATCCAATAATTTTGTTCATGTTGTTGTTATATACTTCAGCAAAATTCGTCTTTACGTATCCTCTCAATACTAGAAATATTTGACGAATATATATTAACAAAAATAATAATAATTCCCAGACAGCACAGGACATTCTACGGACATTCATTTTATGTCCATTTTACGTCTGCACGTCCATGGACATAAAATAAACGTCCATTGTACATCCGATTTAAGACATCTGTTAGTAGTCAATATTTGGACGTCCACAAGATGTCCGGTCTTGGAGGTCAAAGTTTCTCGCGAGCACGCAAGCATGTATTAGTTCGTTCGTTTACCGCTACGTGACGTGTGATGCACTATCTTTCTCGTATTTAAGTTTTAGTTATGAGAATTATATAAAGTTTGCAAAAGGTAACAAATAAAATTAAAAATGTATTGTTCAATTTAATTTCTGACCTAAAAGCACGGGTTTCGGATATTAAATTGATTTTATAAGTCGGGCAAGTAAATGTCCTGCAAATAAACGAAAATAATTGTTCATTATTTATTTAAGATGTAAAGTGCAATATGCAAGTATAAATTATAAATAAATTTTTTATATAAAATTTTTATGTAAAATTTTATATAAAATAAATTATATTATTATTTAGGGATTGAAATATATATGTTTCGTTTAAAAATTATATGTTTAGATCATAAAGATTGTTCTTTTTTCACACATATAATATACATTTTTTTTTAATTATCTGTTTTATAATAGTTTTGTGCAAAAAAAGTAACATTTAAATAATATGTGATATTGCATTAATGTATATGTGATATAAATTTTCTTTAATAAATGTATTGCTTAAAAAAATATATATTTTATCTTTTTAATGTGTAAATTCAAATTTTGTATGTAATCCCTTTTTCATCTCTTTATTATGTCCATATAAAATCCGTTTTGTATATTTGTTATTGCTAATTTATGTCCAATAATCGTCCATCGGATGTCTTTTGGACACATCAGGGTTTAAATTATGTCCTCCAATTTCATATTCGGATATGCTAAGGATATCCACTGTATATTTGAGGAACATAAAACGGACATTTTATGGATATTTTCAATATCCTTCAAGGATATTTGTAGAATATTTTATGAATATCTGTGTGCTGTCTGGGTTATATATAAAATATATTGTTCTATTTTAAATAAATATAAGAAAATTCTAAAAGATATAAATAATATTTTATATTATATTATCAATAATCCTGTTATTATTTTTTAATAAAATTTTTGATTTTATATATATATATACGCCTATATTATATATAGAGTGTCCGAAAAACTGCCCGCAATACTTCGAGAAGTGATTCGGGACCGGAAAAAAAGATAAAAAGCTATATAAATATAAGTCCTGAAAAATAACTCATTTCTTAATTATAATAGTCATCTTTATATTAAAAACATTGTAATTTAATTTTTATAATTATAATAATCATAATTATAGTTTATTTCATAGTATTTTAATATAAATAACTTTATTGTGTGTGTAAGTATGAATATGTATGTGTATGTGCAGTGTATCCAATAATAACTACATTATCTCTCTTGTATACAGGGTGAGGCATCTAAAACAGGCCACCTGAATAACTCCGTTGGTAAGCCGAATATAAAAAAATTGTTCAGACAAAAGTTGTATGGTTTCAAGGGGGACATATGATGGTGTCATTAGTTTAATCTTGAAGAGCCACCCGAAGGTCACGTGAAGGTCAGCTCCAACTTTTTAAATGGGACACCTTATATGCTTTTGCATATTTTTGTAGCTCATCTCAAGAGCTTTCCAAAACACTACAATTATGTTAGTTTTCATTAAATACTTTCCAAGTTATGAGGCTTGAAATCATTTTTTAATTTTACATAAACCGTAAAATATCTTGTAAAATATTCATTTTTCGATTATTTTACCTTAATACTTTTATGTACAAAATAATGAGAAGAATCAATTGGTGTAAAGAAAACACATAATTGCTTCGAACAAAAAAATGTAATTTGCAATTAACAATTACATTTTTTTGTTCGAAGCAATTATGTGTTTTCTTTACACCAATTGATTCTTCTCATTATTTTGTACATAAAAGTATTAAGGTAAAATAATCGAAAAATGAATATTTTACAAGATATTTTACGGTTTATGTAAAATTAAAAAATGATTTCAAGCCTCATAACTTGGAAAGTATTTAATGAAAACTAACATAATTGTAGTGTTTTGGAAAGCTCTTGAGATGAGCTACAAAAATATGCAAAAGCATATAAGGTGTCCCATTTAAAAAGTTGGAGCTGACCTTCACGTGACCTTCGGGTGGCTCTTCAAGATTAAACTAATGACACCATCATATGTCCCCCTTGAAACCATACAACTTTTGTCTGAACAATTTTTTTATATTCGGCTTACCAACGGAGTTATTCAGGTGGCCTGTTTTAGATGCCTCACCCTGTATAAAAGAAGTTAAACAGAAAAAAGAAGAATTTTTTATCATTTTATGATTCTTACAACAATTAATGAGAAATTAATTAAGAAAAATTCACCAATTTACGTAAGTATTAGTTCGTGATGAGAAAAGACAGTCCATTATTACTATATAACCGTTATCATTTATAGAGCGTTTCTTTTAAAATTTTAACAAATGTTTCGCATAATTGTCTTAAATAATAATAGAACATATTATCTATGTTTTAAATCTTTTAATAATTTAAAATCAAATTTGCATGGATCACTTAATATCTGAATCATTTATAACGAATAAATTTTTTTCTGATATCATCTAAATATCAATCATTTTCATTTATTTAATTTTTTAAAACTATATTTTTTAAATAGATTTCAATTATTCAAAATTTAAAAACAACCAAATAATTGAAGTTTATGGAAGAATAAGTAGAATAATTAGTTTAAAAAATAATTTTAAACAATTTAAAATTTGAATGTTTGATATGTAAACGATTGATATAAAAAAAATATTTATTTATTATACTATATTTATTTCAAATTCTAATAACGTATTAATTAAAAAAAGGTATATGGATTAAAAAATTATATGAAAAATATTTATATATTTTTATATTTATATTATAATATTATATTAATAAAAAAAAGAAATTATATAAAGAATACTCACTAATGCGATTTTTTGTAGCATTTAATACATCAGATAATTCAATTGTCTTAGGTGTGGTATCTACTATTTCCATTGGTTCAAATTTTCCAAGATTTGAAATTATTGTATTTGATTTTATTAATAGCTCATACGGCATATTACCATTGTTGAATTGAGGTATTTTTGGCGGACGTGCCTGAGTACCATCCAAATGAATAATCTATTTTATGAAATGTATTTTAATATTAAAAATATAATTATACATATATTTTACATAAATTTTTAAAGAATTACAAGTTATAAATTAAATATTTTATATTTTAATAAAATAATAATATTTAATAAAATAATATAATAATGTGTATAATTATATTAATATAAATATCGAAATTAAAAGATTATGAAAAGAATGATAGATAAAATACACACATTATATTTGTTTAAAAGTATAACACTACATATGTAATTTTATTGTAATTATTATGCATATTATTATTAATATAATAATTTTTATAATATATTGTTATGTTATAGATTATGTTATATAATATATTCTTTGTATTATAATATTATTAATATTATAGATTATGTTATATAATATATTCTTTGTATTATATATATTATAAAATAGGATTTTTGGGTCAAAAATTATCAATGAAAAATTACATATTATACAGGGTGACCGTCGATTTTCGACCAAAATGAAATAAATAAGTAGATTGGCTCGAATTAAAAAGGAATGACCTGTATTGTTTTGGGATTTTCGCAATAATTAACGAAATATTAAATAAAAAAGATCGGCCAATCTGCGTGAGTAAAAGCGCGCGGCGACGAGAGTCGTCCCACCGTAATTCGATACTACGAGCGCGGCGAAGCGGTGGGCGGGTCGCTCTCCGAGACATGATGGTGGTTTGCGATATATCGCAATACCGCGCCGAAAAATGACCCGTCCCCCCTTTTCGTGGCGAGAAAATGATGCGCTATCATTTCCACACCACCTTGCGGTAGATAGCATGATGCGCTTTTTTTATAGTGGTTTCCCCCATAGGCCTATTCCACTCTCAATTTAAAAATTATTCAAAATGCCATTTACTATACGCTGAATATATCGTAAATGTAAAAAATTAATGGACAGTACCTTTACAAAAATTGATTTGTGGTTGAAAATCCCTCGATAAAATGTATTGCACACGTTGATAATGTGATACGATGATAAAATTCTTCAAAAATCTTTTCTTCATCTCGTACACGAAGACGCACTGCTGGACCGGTTATCCCGATATTATGCACGATACTCAGTTTCACATAATTATTGCACAACACGTAAAATTGTACGGCCACTTGGTTTTCGTGCACGCCCGAGAAATGATTCCATGTAAATTGTGGCCGCGCGATGAATATTTTCTCCCGCTAGCCCGTATGCCACAATCATGTCCGTATATTCCTGCGGAGTATACTTCATTTTCACTGGTAATTAACTGCGCGAATATAAGATTTTTACTAAGCGTCTTAGCTCTCGCACGCTGTTACCAGACTGCGTACGCCAGCAGCACGCAACTACAGCTGAGCGGACATGTGAATGTAATCATAGTGCGCAGGCGTCGAACTCACACGTACGCTTACACTCCCATGTCCGCTCAGCTGTCAGCTGTAGTTGCGTGCTGCTGGCGTACGCAGTCTGGTAACAGCGTGCGAGAGCTAAGACGTTTTAATAAAAATCTTGTGTTTGCGTAGTAAATTAACAGAGAAAATGAAGTGTACTCTGCAGGAATATACGGATATGATTGTGGCATACGGACTAGCGGGAGAAAATACTTATCGTGCGGCTGCAATTTACATGGAATCATTTCTCGGGCGTGCACGAAAACCAAGTGGCCGTACAATTTTACGTGTTGTGCAATAATTATGTGAAACTGAGTGTCGTGCATAATATCGGGATAACCGGTCCAGCAGTGCGTCTTCGTGTACGAGATGAAGAAAGGATTCTTGAAGAATTTTATCATCGTATCACATTATCAACGTGTGCAATACATTTTATCGAGGGATTTTCAACCACGAATCAATTTTTGTAAAGGTACTGTCCGTTAATTTTTTACATTTACGATATATTCAGCGTATAGTAAATGGCATTTTGAATAATTTTTAAATTGAGAGTGGAATAGGCCTATGGGGGAAACCACTATAAAAAAAGCGCACCATGCTATCTACCGCAAGGTGGTGTGGAAATGATAGCGCATCATTTTCTCGCCACGAAAAGGGGGGACGGGTCATTTTTCGGCGCGGTATTGCGATATATCGCAAACCACCATCATGTCTCGAAGAGCGACCCGCCCACCGCTTCGCCGCGCTCATAGTATCGGACTACGGTGGGACGACTCTCGTCGCCGCGCGCTTTTACTCACGCAGATTGGCCGATCTTTTTTATTTAATATTTCGTTAATTATTGCGACAATCTCAAAACAATACAGGTCATTCCTTCTTAATTCGAGCCAATCTACTTATTTATTTCATTTTGGTCGAAAATCGACGGACACCCTGTATACATATTATGTGAAATATGTAATGAATTATATATTATACACACACACACATGTGTGTGTGTGTGTGTGTGTGTGTGTGTGTTGTGTGAAATATACATGTACAAATGCTATTTACGATAAAGAATAGATATGTTTATTTATATATATCTGTAACGTATTTGTATATATCTCTAACGTAATATATATAATATATATAATATATATATATATATATATAATATATATAATATATATATTTCATTTGTATATAAATTCACAACTTAAAAAGAATTTTTATTTGTAAGTAATTTGTTTAACACAGAATGATTTATAAGCAAATATTAACTATTATTAAAATCTAATGTGATGTATAATAATATGTAATATACGTAATGTATAATAAAAACGTGAAATAATAATATATAATGTATAATAAAAATGTAATAAAAAATGTATAATAATATGTAATGTATAATAAAAACAATGTATTGAGAATAAAAGTTAAATATTAAATATCAAGAAAAGAAAAAAATATAGATCTTTCTATTTTTCTCTCTTTTCCTAATGTTTAATATTTGATTCTTATTTCTAATATTTATTTTATATTACACCAATTGTGTCTATAAAATAACAAAAATACTGTTAGCGATAAAAGCAATATCACTGTGTGTATATATTAAATTAATTGTAAGATAGAACGACTTGATTCAAAATCAAATAATGATGATTTAAATATTTCTTTAGACAGTAGATTAAATATAACGACGTATATACATGATCTTCTAGACTATCTTTTTTACATTTTTTTTGACACAAAGAATACGCACATATGAAGATTCATTAATACTTATAAAAATTTATAAAGTTTACATTTTATCGTAAATTGCATATTATATGTGTATACAGTGTATATGTATATATATTTTTTTCCTCTTCTAATAATTTATAAGAATTTTTTAGTAAACATTTTCATTTTAGATACTTATTATAAATAAATAAATAAATATATATATATATGTATATATATATATATACATATATATATATATATATATATATATATATTTATTTATTTATTTATAATAAGTATCTAAAATGAAAATGTTATATATATATATATATATATATATACATATATATATATACATACATATATATAATTTATTATTTTTAATAAATCTTTATTTATTAATATTATTTTTACAACTATTTAATTTGTAATTTAATTTCAAAATAACGGAAGATGCTAAATTAAATAAGTCAAATTCTCCTCAATACGTACATAGAATCAATATTACTAAGATATAAATATCGAGCTATCACGCATGTTTGAGATGATACCTTATGTTTTTATGTTTTGAAACGTGACATTGGGTACTTTCCGATTCATACATGATGCGCATGAAGTGACGAGAAATGTATGTAGTTCATATATTATAAATTTTCTATATACCAATATATGAATCGGAAAATATCTATTTATTGTTTATATATACATATATAGTTATTATATATATTGAAAAGATTTGTGAACTAAGGATTGAAGTATATATAAATTATATTGATTTATGATCATTTGTATTAATATAAATATTGATTTATTATTCGTATTAATATAAATATGCGTAAAAATATTATGATTTCACTTTTCGATATTATTTATTAATTTCTACATTTGATTTATTATATCATTAAAATATTGTGTGTAAATTTTAATTTATGTAATTTAATCAATGTTTGATAGTAAGTTAATTAATAAGTTAGTATTTTATAAAAAATTTTTGTGTGCCTATTAATTTATTATAACAATTTATTACATTATAAACTTACAATTTATTATAGTATTATTGTAAACTTACCTCAACAAAATTCTTCTTCTCAAAGTAATCAGAGTCAATGTAGTTCTTCTATTAAACTTCTTTAAATGTATTTAATGATAATTTATTGCACTACACCACTTAATCTCTTACGTAATCTTTCGACGCAGTTAAAGGAAATGGCAATCTCTCATCAGTATAACGAAATTTATATCGTTATCTCCCACCACATCGTGTAGTATATATATATATATATATATATATATATATATATATATATATATATATATAGGCATAACAGGCATACCATAGAGGGGTGTCGTATGTACGGCTCACGGACTAGACGTTCGACTCCCTGCCATAGATGTAGCTAGATTTACGTTTTGGAATGAGTTAAAAATATTTCTATCTTTGATAAAACGAGAGAACCTGCATACAATATAAATTATTACAATTACATTGTAGGAATGTCTCTGTAATGTTTCATTGCAATTTTGCAAGTTGCAATGAAACATTACAAAGACATTGCAAAAAACAAATCTACAAATTGCCAACACAATTGCAAGATAACGTAAAAATTTGAGAAAAATTTTTAAATTAAAATTTTACAATTATATATTTTTAAAATAAAATCTATAGTTTATATATATATAGGATATATACAAACTATAGATAATAAACTAAGCTATTCAATTTTTACTTATTTTATATCCTTATAATTGTTTAAATATTACAAAATCATTTTATATAAAAAAGTAAGTTCACTTAAAAAGCTTTATTTAAAAAAAAATGAAATTTTTAATCTTTAAATCTCTAAAATATAAAACTTTTACTTAAAAGTTATAAAAGTTATAAATTTTTACTTAT